CCATGGATCATTTTCATCTAAATCCCACAATGATTGTCCTTCAGTTATGTGTATATAATCATCTCCATTGACTTCATTCTCTGTAAGTATATGATTTTCATTCCTTGTGGGTATTTCATTTCTAGGGAATTCCTCTTCTATTGGTATCATCAAACTATAAAAAGCCTCGAATTGAGAAGCCTTCATCATAAGATATTCATCAATTTCCGGATTATCCCATCCTGCATCCTTTTCCAAGCATTTGCTCCCCAAATTTTTTGATGCCATATTCTTCACGCTTGTTCTTTCCTCGACTGAATAACTTCTAACAATGATATTTAGTCTTATATTCTATAGATGCCAACATTTTCATGTAGAAAAAAAAAAAAAAAAAAAAACACAAAAATTTCATTTCAAATATAAATTTATTTTTATTTATTTACATTTTTGTTGTTGTATTTACTAAGCTAAATATGGTTGATAAAAGAAATTAGATTTTTTTTGCTTCAATTCCAATTTGTATAATGTGTTATCTCTCTCGCCTCCCATTGTTGATTTTGATATGGTATATCCACCGCATCCCAATTCCTTGACGTCTTCTTCTCGTAGTGCTAAGAACCTAGATGGCAGGTAAAGTATAGCATCATCCAGTTTAAGCACAATTCTTTCACCATATTTGGTTTGGGTTCTGTATGCTCCACTGATAACGTAATCCCTGTTTTGATCCATCTCCTTTATTGTGATAATCCTTTTGTGGTTGTAGGAGTTGAATAAATTTACAAGGTTTACGCTCGACATTATTTCTATTAGGCTTTATTTCACACTGTTTTCTTTAGCAACATAGTCCTCCTATTTATATGAAAAACTTGTTTTTTTTTTTCACCCATACCATCTCACCAAATGAAGAACACAATGATTTTTTTTTCACCCAAACCATCCCCACCAAATGAAGAAAACAATGTAATTTATTTTTATTATTATGTATTTCTATTTTTAAAGAACTCAATGTATTTTTTTTTTAACCCAAACCATCCCACCAAATAAAGAACACAATATATATATATATATATATACATTTTTTTTTTATTATTTATTTCTATTTTTGTCAAATTCATTGAAATGTACCCTTAATTCTTTATAATGCTCATTATTTTGAACTATATAATTTAAATCTACAAAATTCTTATTAATATAATCCTCAAAATCATGAAGAACACTGTATTGAGGTGGGCATAATACGATCGATGAGGTAACCACTGCTCGTTCCGGCAGACCCTCTCGTATTCTGTCAAGCTCGTTTACTGTTGTTTCGGTGATCGTGGTTTCGCCATCGTCTCCAATCTCATCATCATCATCCAGGATTGTGGACTGGGTTTCCTCCTCCTCATAAGTGATCGTGGTATCGCCATCGTCTCCAATCTCATCATCATCCAGGATTGTGGACTGGGTTTCCTCCTCCTCATAATGAGTTGAGGAGTCCTCTGTTGTTTCACCATGGTCCTCCAACACCTCTTCCATTTCCACATCCTCCACATTCTCCTCATCCTTTTTTTCCTTGACGGAACATATGACTATATCGCCTTCTGTATCCTCATAGAAGTTATTGACATCCACATCTTCCGAAAGTTTTTCGCTGAACGCAAAGGACATTTTTGTTCTTAAGATGCTGTCTTCGTAAAGGATTTTTTAAAACTGAGTATATTTCTCAAGATTTACTCCGCTTTAAATACCAATATATTGTTTACATTAAAAATCCTTTCGGATAAAGAAATACACAACTATCTAATGCATAACATAGTTTAGGATTTATCTCGATGTTTCAATGCAAAAGGAATCATATTTACAAAGCGTTGAATTAGTTTAATACATCCTTTTTCTAAAATATTTAAATGCAACAACTACTGGGAAAAGAAATGGTATTCCCTTTACCTTGTCCCCTTAACATAAACACACCAATATTTTCTCATTTGATCCTCAAGAGATAATATTAGACAAACATATCATATTAGGAAACATCGAGAGCAAAATATGTTTTACAACACTAGTTCTGTAGTGATGGGTCAACCGCATTTGTGAGGGACCTGTCAAAATTATTTCAAATATTTTTTTTATAACTCTTTTGATATGTGCCACAAGTGGCACAAGTGGGATGATGCCAAGTGAGGGTAGGCTCAAAAAAAAAAAAACCAAACAACGCACAATTACACACACACACACACACACACACACACACACACACACACACACACACATACATACATACAGCGGTTCAAACATTCCCAATGTGAAATAAAAACCCCAAACATAAAAAAAACTAAAAAAACAAAACAAAAAAAACAAAATATGAGTCTCATTACATTTTTTTATTACCCTCAAGTGATGATGATGGCTGAATGTAGGGATCAAACGCATACGCCCGACTGTAGGTATATGTCTACGCTAATTAGGAAAAACAACAACTCGAGACAAATTTCTTTCTAAGGGCACATGCAACAACAACGTCTAAGCCTTAATATAGGCAACAAAATGTGCAACAGCAAACAAAGGGCGCCAAGGTCATTCAATCCTCAGGAAAAACACAAGTGAGAAGAATTAGGGACAAACACACGACATAGACACATCATATTTGAACTAAACGCATCATAACTAAACTAAAAGAAAACTATGGGAAGGGTAACATTACCACACATACAAACAACAATCAATACACAACTGTGTGTAACCCATATGATCGCACAGACGGACAACACATTCAATCTTGAGGGGGGTGGGGGAAAACACAAGTGTCAAGACAGGGTTAGACACACATCAAATTCAAATGGAAAGGTTAACATTGCCGCACATACAAACAATAATCAGTACAATACTGTGTGTAACACACATGATCGCACAGACGGACATATTCAATCTTGAGGAAAAACACAAGTGCCAAGAATGAGGGTGAGACACACATCAAATTCAAATAGACCACAATCAATACAAAATAGCAGATAACACAATGCAAAGGGTGACATACTTCGCCACACGGACAGGCAAAACCAATAAAAATCAATGCACACCTAATTTATGATGGCCATAAAACTTTACACACATGGCATGCTGGGGGGGGGGGGGGGGGGGGGGGTTAATGCACCGAGGCAAAAAGTCGTAAAATTTTATTGACCCTGCCACTTCCGGTCTCATATTCTACCTACTCCCAATAATCGGCATTTTGATGATTTCAGCTACATTATTAACCGGAATTGTTTTAAATTTAGTATTTGAAGTCCGTAATGAATACTACAGCCTATGACAGAAAATTGTCTGTGCAGGACCACTTCTCCGTATAGCCCTCATATAAGGGTACTGCCAGATATACGGTATTTCGATGATTTTAGCGACATTTTTCACCGGAATTCTTTCAAATTTGGTATTTGAAGTTAGTTATGGTTCCTACAGCCTATGATAGAAAATTGTCTGTGCAGGACCACGTCTCCGTATAGCCCTCATATAAGGGTACCGCCCGATATTCGGTATTTTGATGATTTCTGCGACATTATTCACCGGAATTGTTTCAAATTTGGCATTTGAAGTTCGTAATGGATACTGCACCCTGTGGCAGAAAATTGTCTTTGCAGGTCCACGTCTTCGTATAGCCCCCATATAGCGACACCTAACGATATTCGGTATTCTGATGATTTTAGCGACATTATTCATCGGATTTTTTTCAAATTTGGCATTTGAAGTTCGTAATGGATACTACAGCCTAAGACTGAAAATTGTCTGTGCAGGTCCATGTCTTCGTATAGCCCCCATACAACGATAACTCCCGATATTCGGTACTTTGTTGATTTTAGCTACATTATTGACCGGAATTGTTTCAAATTTCGTATTTGAAGTTAGTAGAGGATACTACAGCCTATGACAGAAAATTGTCTGTGCAAGTCCACGTCTTCGTATAGCCCCCATAAATGGTATCTCCCTATATTCGGTATTTTGATGATTTTAGCGACATTATTCACCGGAATTGTTTCCAATTTGGTATTTGAAGTTCGTGGTAGATACCACAGCCTATAACAGAAAATTGTCTGTGCAGGTCCACGTCTTCGTATAGCGCCCATATATCGGTACCTCCCGATATTTGGTATTTTGATGATTTTAGCTACATTATTCACCGGAATTGTTTCAAATTTGGTATTTGAAGTTCGTAATGAATACTACAGAATATGGCAGAAAACGGGGATGTAATTCCACGTCTTCGTATAGCCCCCATATAATGGTACCTCCCGATATTCGGTATTTTAATGATTTTAGCGACATTATTCACCGGAATTGTTTTAAATTTGGTATTTGTAGTCCTTAATGCATACTACAGCCTATGGCAAAAATTTGTCTGTGCAGGTCCACGTCTTCGTATAGCCTCCATATAACGGGACCTCCCGATATTCGGAATTTTGATGATTTTAGCGGCGTTATTCACCGGAATTGTTTCAAATTTGGCATTTGAAGTTCGTAATGGATACTGCAGCCTGTGGCAGAAAATTTTCTGTACAGGTCCACGTCTTCGTATAGCCTCCATATAATGGTACCTCCAGATATTCGGTATTTTGATGATTTTAGCGACACTATTTACCGGAATTGTTTTAAATTTGGTATTTGTAGTTCGTAATGGATACTACAGAATATGGCAGAAAACGGGGCATGTAAGTCCACTTCTTCGTATAGCCGCCATATAACGGTACCTCCCGATATTCGGTATTTTGATGATTTTAGCGGCGTTATTCACCGGAATTGTTTCAAATTTGGTATTTAAAGTTCGTAATGGATACTACAGCCTATGACAGAAAATTGTTTGTGCGGGTCCACGTTTTTTATAGCCCCCATATAGTGGTAGAATTTTTAACGAATTTTATTTTTTTTAAAATTGCCAAATTCGTTCCAAATGGTGGAGGGTATTTAAAGTTCCGGCCGAACTTACAGCTATTTTTTTTGTTTTTTTTTTTTCTTTGCTTTTCGAAAATAAAACACATTTCAAAAAAGTGACACAATTTCAATTAAAACATATTTCTTCCATTTTATTGGCATTACTATTATTTTTTTGAAAATACTTTTTGTTAAAATTAATAGCAATTGAGTTTGTTACTACTATGTGTTTTTATGTTATCATCATCTTTATTGACAAAAACCCCTACAAAAAAACTTACTACCATAAAAAAAGGTCTTTTTCTCAAAGGTGAATTAATTAATAGTTTCTCTTTTGTTTTTTCTTAATTAATTACTTTTCTTTTTTATAAAATGACTTAAATTTACAAAACGTGGAAAAAAGATTATTATAGTTTTTAAACAAAAAACTCAAAAGCAAACAAAAAAATAATATAAACAAACTATAAAGATTACACACAGTCAGTATAAAATAACAAAAAAATGAGAAACAAACAAAAGAAAAATATACATTTACAAAATGATAAAGAAGTATCTGGAGGGAAGGAATATACAGAGAGCAAAAAATAATGCAAAAACTTGGGATTAAAAAGGTCGGTCCTCTTCTTTAACATGGTTTTAGAAATTGTATTTTGTTTTTCCTTTTTGGTTATCAAATAATATTGTTTTTTTGTATAGAACCATAAGATTACAATTGTTTTTTGTTTTCGTTTTTTTTATGTTCCGTTTTTTGTTTTGTTTTTTTAGAAAATGAAATCACAACAATAGTAAAAGCAAACGTGCATCAACCGTTTCAGGTTGGTATGAGGATGATGAGGGTGGTAATGATGATGTTCGTAATGCTGTTGGCCGTTCATGATCATCATCATTGTTGTTGTTGGCCACATAATCGCCACATACAGCTGATATCGTCCTTTTTAGCACCGCTCCTCCACCACTAGAAATTCCCGCCACACCACTTCCGCCACGGACGTTGTCACACGTTGCTTGCAGTAAATCTCAGAGTCCTGTATGACTGGTCTGCAATTGTTCAATCGAAATGGATAGCTGTTCCAAGCGTTGCATCAGCTGTAACATATTCTCTTGAGCTTTGGCGGCATTGAAATCGTTACCATTCTCCAGCGAATCTTCCTCGGAGGCGGCCAGTTCAAAATGCAATTTGGCAAGGCTTTCTTGTTGTTCGCGTATTTTGGTCATCTGATCCATGGTACAGCCGGAACCTATGTACGTGCAGTGGAAGAAAATAAATTTAAATGCAAATTATTGAATTTGTTTTGTTGGTGTGTTTTTTTAGAAGTTTAGCTGCTTTAGGGAAAGAGTGAAAGCTAAATTATTTCACTCAACTGATAAGATAAGATAGAGACATAGGAAAGAATTTTGTTGTTGTTGAATTTTATCGGACTAGAAAGTTGTTTATTTACTTATTTTTTTGCAAATGTTTTGATATTTTATAATTATTATCAATTCTCAATTAGAGCGGACAGAAATTTTTATATCCACCTTTTGACCAAATCGATTAGCATCAAAGTCTCTAGAAATTTGAAGTTCCGTAACATTGGGATTATTCCTTTTTTAAAGAGGAGTAAATCTAACCACAGAGAAGTCGAGTAACCATTAATAGTTGGAAATGGGAAAAAAGATACTGAAAAACAGGAGGTACCATTGCATAAGGGGCGATAACCAATGGGGAATCCACATTAATTTTTTTAATTTGTCGCTAAAACCCGTAATGCCCAATCAAAACTGATTTGGTTGGAAAATGGTACCAAAAGCTTCAAAAGGCCAAAAAATCCGCCTTCCTCATTGTGAAAACTTTACTTATGACCAACTCGATTATCCTCAAAATTGAAATCCGATACATGGGGAATATTATTTTTTTAAGGAATAAATCTAACCATCGAGAACTCGAAATATTCAATTACCACTGATATAGTCGGGAGTGGGAAAAGATACCTAAAGTCGAACCTTCAAAATACCCGAAATCTGGGGTACTTCCAAGAAGACCTTACCGGCATCATAAGATTTGACCAACTTTGAATAGTTTTTGGGAACAGTTATTCTACCCCCAGAGAACACAAAACGCTAAAATAGAGCCAATTTCGAAAAAAAAATTGGAAAAAAATGAAAAACAGGTGGTACAGTTATGTTGTTTCCAATATTTTTTGCACGGAGTAGATTACCGATTGAGAACGTAAAATGACAAATTATAGATGATTTGGTGGGAAATTGGAAAATAACCTTCAAAATATCGAAATTCAGCTGGTAATGTTATTTGAGGGCTATACCTAAAAGTGGGCCTACATTGAAAAATTTTTGTAAGAAGTTAAACCATCCATCGAAAACCCGAAATGAAAAGTTATAGCTACTTTGGTTGGAAATTCGGACCGGGACCTTCAAATAATCAAAAACTTGGAGGTACCATTATATGGGGGCTATACCAAAAAATGGACCCGCATTGAATATTTTTTCTAGAAGTTAAACTACAGACGGAGAGCCCAATGTGCCAAATTACAGAGGACTTGGTTAGAAGTTCGGACCGAAACCTTAAAAATAGCGAAAATCTGGAGGCTATATGGGGGTTATAGCGAGGAGTTGACCTACATTGAATATTTTTTAAGAGAAATTTATCTACCCACTGAGAATCGGAAAATAAAAATTGCAGCTGATTTCTTTAATAACTGAGCAACGAAACCTTTAAAATACCAAAAATAAGGAGGAAGAGGCCTATACCGGCCTTCTATGGCTATATAAGACCTTGTCGGCCTTCCATTGCTACAGAAGACCTCAAGATCTTCTATGGTTTTAGAAGACATCAACTGTCTTCTATGGCTATAGAAGACCTTACTATCTTTCTATAGCTAAAAAAGACCTTACTTGCCTTCTAGGGCTATAGAAGACCTTACGGGCCTTCTATGGCTATAGAATACCTTACCGGTTTCCTATGACTATATAAGGTCTTACCGGTCGCCTAAGGCTATAGAAGACCATTCCTAGTTCCTATGACTACAAAAAATCTTGGCGGCCTCCTATGGCTTAAGAAGACCTTACCGGTCTTATATGGCTATAGAAGACCTTACGGCCTTATATGGCTTCAGAAGACCTTACCGGCCTTTTATGGCTATAGACGACCTATATTTTACCTATGACTATATTTATCTAAAGTAGACCTTACCGGCCTTATATGGCTACAGAAGACCTTACCTAATCCATCGCCTGTGGCTATAGTGGCTTACCGGTTACCTATGGCTATAGAAGGCCTTAACAACTTTCTATGGCTATAAAAGACCGTACCGGCCTTCCATGGCTATAGAACACCTTACCGGCCTTCTATGGCTACAGAAGACCTTACCGGTCGGTTTTATACGGCTATAGAATACCTAAACGGTCACCTGTGACCTTACCGGCCTTTTATGGCTATAAAAGACTTTACAGGCCTTCTTTGGCTATTGAAGACCTTATAGAAGAAGACCTTAACGACTTCCCATGGCTATACAGCACCTTGCCGGTTTCCTATGGCTATAGAACACCTAATCGATCACCTGTGGCTATAGAATACCTTACCGGCTTTCTGCTGCTATAGAGAACCTTGCCGGTTTCCTATGGCTATAGAAGGCCTTACCGGTCTCTTATGGCTACAGAAGCCCTAACCTTCCTCCCATGTCTTTAGACAATCCTACCGGTTTCCTAAAGCTATAGAAGACCCTATGGGCTACCTAAAACTATAGAAAACCATAACGGCCTAATATGGCTATAAAAGGTCTTACCGGCCTCCTGTGGCTATAGAAGACTTTACCAGTTTCCTATGGCTATAGAAAACTTTACCCGCCTTCTATGGCTACGGAGGACCTTACGGTCTCCTAAGGCTATAGACCATACCGATTTTTTGTGGTTAGAGAAGGCCTTACCGGTCTTCTATGGCTGTATTACACCTTACCGGCCCCCTATGCTTTTAGAAGACCATACCAGTTTCTAATGGCTATGGAAGACCCTATGGGCCACCTAAAGCTGTAGAAGGTCTTACCGGCCTCCTGTACCTATAGAAAATCTTACCGGCCTCCTGGGGCTATAAAAGAACTTTTATCGGCCTTATGCGGCTATAGAAGACTCAGTAAGGCCTTCTAGAGCTTCAAAGGACTTTAAGGTCTTCTATAGCTACACAAGACCTCAACAACGCCTTCTATAGCTTCAGGGGTTTTTCAAAATTTTTAAAGTTCTTCTATCAAAGTAGATCCGTAAAGGTCTCGTATGCACGCAGAAGAATTTTAATTCCTTTCGTGGCTAAAGAATACCTTAAAAACCTTTTATAAGTCCTTCTACAGCTCTGAAATAAACGTAATGGCCCTTTATAGTTCTTGAGAATGGGTTTTAGGTTACCTTAAAGTTCTTCTTTGACTATTGAAATTCTTCAAATTTTTCCTTTCATTTACTCACCAAACGCTTTCAGCTTCCCCGAATGGAAATCATTCAGCAGTCCTAACAGGGCGCGCTCCATATGCTTGACATCCGGCACTTCTGAGACAAAAGAATGATGTTTAATGGGACGTTGATCAAATTTATCACTGAGATTGTTGCTGGTGTTCACCGATGACATGAGACCGGGATAGCCGGCACTGACGCTGATGCCAGTGCTGGTGCTGACGCTCGGTTTGCGTCGCGACGGTGTTGTTGTGATGTTCGCATTAACACTCTGTTGTTGATGAAAGGCAGTACTGCTGTTGGGGGTTGCGCTGCTGCTGCTGCCGCTGATGTTGTGGTTATTGTTGTTATTGCTATGGATGGTGATGATGTTGTTGCTGGTGATGTTAATTGCCTGATGAATATCATCATTGCTCAGGGAAATCGGTACAGCGGCAACAGCGGTGGCAATTGTTGTCGTCGCCGTAAATGGTTGACTTAAATTAGTCGTACATATGTTGTTGTTGTTATTATTGTTGTTGATGTTGTTTTTATGGTTTTTATTCGATATGCTAAAATTATGCGTATTATAGATATCATCACCGTCTATGTTTGTTGTACTTTCATCGCTTGGCGTGTCACTGCTACTTAGCTGGGTTATATCATTGAGGCTATTTGAATCACAATCTGTTGTGGAGGGTCCAAAAATGTCATGCGTATCCATGGCAAATACAGCGGATCGAGGTATGATAACATCAAAATTAACAGAAACCCCAGCAGCAGCACGAGCAGTAGTCACCACCATACCAGAGGTTTGGAACATTGTTTGCGACATGGTCGTTGAGGTTATTGACGACATCATTGTTTGTTAATGGCAATGATGAGAATTTTGGATTTTTGTTTATGAAAATGCGGGAGGGTTAAAACGCAACATAAAAGAAATGAAAGAAACAAACCAAAGAAAATAAATTAAAAAATAAATTAACTAAAATTTTAAAATTGAATTATTAAAAAAATTTAGGAATATAAAAATGAATATGTTAGTATAAAAAATATAAAAACAATTTACGAAAAATAATTGTTAGGTTGTCGTGTTTGGAAGACGTGTGTGTATCGTTGGTGTAACGCCTGAACTGTATGGCGCCAAAATAATAACTGACTACTTGTGTTCAGTGTATGTCCGTAGCGAAGAGGTTTGTTGCTGCTGTGAAAGGCATGCTTTTGCGCATAACTACAGTGGTGGGCATAATTGAAGTGTGAATTTTCAAAACAAAATTGCTCATCATCTTTATCGGAAAAATTAGAGAATATAGGAAAGTGCCAAGCAATTATCTATAAAAATGGCTCAGATATAACTTCAGTGAAATACCTCAAAAAGTTGACGATTAAATCCCGGAGATTTGGATGTTCGGTTACATAAAGATATATAGGGTTAGTCTACACAAAAATAACGGGGGCGACTTCTTTAAAATGCCGAAAAATAGTATGAACCGAAGATTGAAGACTTTATCGGCCTTCTATTGCTATAGAAGATCTTACCGGCTTCTATGGCTATAGAAGACCTTACCGACCTACTATGGCTACAGTAAACCTCAACAGCCTCCTATGTCTATAGAAGACCGTATCAACTTCCTATGACTATAAAATACCTTACCGGTTTCCTATGGTTATGGAAGATCTTACCGGCCTCCGCTGGCTATAGAAAACCTGACCGACATCATTATAACTGATTTGTTTTGAATTTTAAGCCGACTCTTTTAAAATACCGAAAATCAGAAGAAAACGTTGTACGGGGTGGGGCTTTACCAAGGGGTCAGCGATGTTTATTGCGAGGAGCTTAACCACCCACTGACCAAACGAAAAAAAAAAAAAAAAAAAAAAAAAAAACAAGATGATTTGTTTGGAAATTGAGGCCTTACCGACCTTATATGGATATAGCGGCATTCTATGGCTATAGAAAACCTTAACGGCCTCAAAAGGCAATTGAAAACTTTATCGGCCTTCAATTGCTATAAAAAGATCTTACCGGCTTCTATGGCTACAGAAAACCTCAACAGCCTCCTATGTCTATAGAAGACCTTACCGACCTTCCTATGACTATGAAAGACCTTACCGAAGCATTCATAGCGGCATTCTGTGGCTATAGAAGACCTTAACGGCCTCAAAAGGCAATTGAAGACTATATCGGCCTTCTATGGCTATAGAAGATCTTGCCGGCCTTCTATGGCTACAGAAAACCTCAACAGCCTCCTATGTCTATAAAGACCGTACCAATTTCCTATGACTATAAAAGACCTTACTGGTCCCCTGTGGCTATGGAAGTCCTTACCGGTCTCCTATGGTTACGGAAGGTCTTACCGGCCTCCTCTGGCTATAGAAATCATGACCGGCGTTATTATAATTGATTTGTTTTGAATTTTAAGCTGACTCCTTTTATGGCTATAGAAGATCTTACCGGCCTTCTATGACTACAGAAATCCTCAACAGCCCTCTATGCCTACAGAAGATCCACAAGTTTTCTATGGCTATAAAAGACCTTACTGTTCTCCTGTGGCTGTAGAAGTCCTTACTGGTCTCCTATGGCAATAGAGGAACTTACCGGCTTCCTCTGGCTTTTATGGAGATAGAGCACGTATGGCTATAGAAGTCCTGACCGGCCTCTTATGGTGATAGAGCACCTATGGCTATAGAAGACCTTACTGTTCTCCTGTGGCTGTAGAAGTCCTTACTGGTCTCCTATGGCAATAGAGGAACTTACCGGCTTCCTCTGGCTTTTATGGAGATAGAGCACGTATGGCTATAGAAGTCCTGACCGGTCTCTTATGGTGATAGAGCACCTATGGCTATAGAAGACCTTACCGTCCTCTTATGGTTATAGAAACGTTACCGGCCTCTTATGGTGATAGACGACATTACTGGCCTCCTATGGCCATAGAAGACCTTAAAGGCCTTTTTTTGGCTATAGAAGACATTGCCGACCTTTTGTGGCTATTGAAGACATTACATATCCACAGATCTAATAGGCGTATATAGCTCTAAAAGATCGTAAAGACTCTATATGACTCTAGAATATCTTCAAGTCTTCCTGTGGACTAATTTCCCAATTTGTGAGATATGAGAGCCGAAAAATACCGAGATCAGGAGGTACCGTTACATGGGATGGTATTTATGTTAAAAAAACTCAAAACACTTTTCCTCCTCACTGTAATTTGATAATCCTACTTCACATTGGCCATAAAACAATCCAGTCTAAGAAGAATACACGAGGATATTTCTGTGATATTTTACCCCTTGATAGGGTGGTTATTTCTCCAACGAAAGGGAGAGGGAACATATTGTTAAGGGCTTGTATTTATGTTTGACTTAATGATTCGTGACGTTGGAGCCAACAAAAAAAAAATACAAAACAATGAAATTGCCAATGATTATGTATGTGCCCATGGAGGAGGAAACAAGCATCAACAAGTATTGTTTACTTTATCCTCCATTTCGTTTTTTTGGCAATTAAATATTATGCACAGGCGCCATGCTAGCGAAGGTTGCAGTAATAAAACAGGATCTAATGCGTGTATAAAAATATAATTATTCTTATTACAGAGGATTTTTTTTTGAATGCAATGCAGCAATAAAGAAGATTGAGTGTTTAGGCAATCACGGTGGTGGATATTTTTTTCGCAACAAAACTAATGATGTCATTGTCCAGCCATAAATTGGGGTCCTCTGTTTATTTTTGTGCAAGTGGTTAGTAGAGATTTAGAATCTCGCCACTACTACTTGCAATTATCATATCATACTCGTTTGCATGCAAATTGTGTGGATTTGAACAGAGAATTGCGGTAAGAAAATCCTGCTTTTAAATTATTCCTTGGAGATTTGTTTGAGCAGATTATTGCTACACCCACCACAAATAACTAAATAAAACCCAAGGACAGTTGACAGGAAGAAGAAAGGTAAATTTGTATATTTAAATAGCTTTAGGCACCATTATCAGAAAGTTGGAAGGAAAAAGGAATAATTTGAAATTTAATAGGATACAGAAGGGACGTGTTTCAGTTTGTTTATTTTAAATGGATGTCGAATTTATTTCAATTGATTAGCTTAATACAAACGAGCAAATCGGAAGGAGAATTAGAACAAAGAAAATATTTAAGGATAAAATAATTCGAAGATGTTTATATTTATTTTTAGATGTAAAAAACATCGGCTATCATGGGATCCATTTCTATATTGAGTATTTGTTGGAAGAAGTTAAACCATCGACACAGAATCGGAAATACGGAGACTATACCAAACCAGTAACAAAAAATGTTTATATTGGTGGTGTTATATATTGGTGCACAATAAAGCTTAAATCGGATTAAGATATGTATTGGAGCTATATCCAAATCTGAACCGATCTTGACAACATTTTAGGCACTTATTTCTGAGCTGTATCTGATATCTGGTACCAAAGATCAATGTTGTTAAGTGCATATTACGCATGTGGGGGACATAAAACCTCAAATCGGATAAAACATGTATATAGCTATATCTGAACCGATTTTCTTGTATTTGCTTCTAGACTGAATTCCGTCGGAAGTTCCAAAATTCAGTTCATTTGGGCTGATATTAGCCATTTGGTGCACAATAAACCTAAAATCGGATAAAGATATATATCAGAGCTATATCCAAATCTGAAGGAATTTTGACAAAATTTTAGGCACTTATTTCTGAGCTGTATCTGATGTCTGGTACCAAATACCAATCTTGTGGAGTGCATATTGGGCATGAGAGGGACTTTAAATCCCAATTCGGATGAAAAATATTTATAGGAGCTATAAATGTATATGAACCGATTTGATGTACTTCCTTCTAGACTGAATTCGGTCAGATGTACCAAAATTCCCATAATTTGGATACCAATTCAAATAGGGTTCGCCCTTGGGCCAAACAAATATCTTTGAAAAAACCCCAAATAAATTACTAGAATGACTAGAACTATCACAATAGCGAAAAACACGGAGCTGTACCTAGAAGTGGACTCACATTGAATATTGTTTTGCGGAAAGTTAAACTACCTACTGAGCAACCAAATTATCGAATTAGACCCGATTTGTTCTAAAATTGGTTCAAATAATTCATCATACCGGAAATCTGGAGATGTCGTCATTTGAGGCTATTCAAAAAAGGAGCTACCATGAATGAGTTGAAAACCGTTATATGGGGACTATACGAAGACGTGAACCTGCATACGAAATTTTTTGCTATAGGCTGTAGTACCCATCACGAACTTTAAATACGAAATTTCCAACAATTCCAGTGAAGAATGTCGCAAAAATCATGAAAATACCAAATATCGGGAGATACCGTAATATGGGGACTATACGAAGACGTGGAGCTCCATACAAAATTTTTTGCCATAGTTTGTAGTACCCATTAATATCTTCCAATAAGAAATTTTAAACGATTCCGGTGAATTATGTTGCTGAAATCACCAAAATACCAAATATCGGAACGTGCCGTTATATGGGAGGCTATACGAAGAAGTAGACCTGCATACAACATTTGTTGTCATAGGTTGTAGTACCCATTACGAACTAAAAATACGAAATTTGGAATAATTCCGGTAAATAATGGCGCTAAAATCAGGAAAATACCGAATATCGGGAGGTACCGTTAAATGTGGGGCTATACGAAAACGTGGACCGACATGGTCCATTTACGAACTTAACCTGCCTACAGGGAAAATATGCATGTATGCAAAATTTTACCTTCAATTCGTTCGAAAGATAGTGTGATTAGAACAGACAGACAGACGCACAGACGAACATCGCTAAATCGTCCTAGAATTTTACTCTGACCCAGAATATATATATTTTGTAGGGTCTATCATGAATGCTCCGAGGAGTTACAAACGGAATGACAAAGCTAATACATCCTCTCCATAGAATGGTGAAGGCTATACAAATCAGGAGGGAGGGACAGTTACATGAGGTATATACCAAAAAATTTAAATATTTTTTGCGAGATGTTAATCTACGCACATAAGTCCTAAAATATCAAATGACAGCTGATTTGATTGTAAATTTAAATTTAAATTTGTAAACCTTCACAATATCAAAAATTAGTCAAACTACCCACTTGAAACCCTAAATGATAAATTACACCTGATTCGGTTGGTAAATAGAGCTGAAACCACCAAAATACCTTAAATCAAAATGTACCACTATATGGGGGTGATACCCATTTTTCAATCCTAGGTACAACACCAACACCTACCCAAAATTTTAAATCTTTTTCTTAAATGGTGCTATATATATGGCTCATTCGAGATAGAATTTCGCCATTAATCAATATTCCCTCTATTGTATGGTGGAGGGCATAAAAATACATCCCATTAAGGGATTGGAACTACACGTTAATCAACTCAAATCAACTCCCGAGAACAAAGTTTTAAAAGGATAATGATGTCCTGACAAAACCTTGGAAGAAAGCTTAATTAGGAGTCATTTCAGCAAAGGAAACACCTATCAAAATGGCGGTGTGGGATACACTTGGGGAATTGAAAAACAATTTCGCTACTCACAAGGTTTCAATTTCCTCTTCAGTTAGGGTCATTTAAGCAACGGAAATATCTATCAAAATGACGCTGTTGGATACACTTGAGAAAGTGAAAACCTGACAAGGTTTCAAATTCCTCTTCATTTTTCTTCCAAAAAGTTTTCAAACGGTTCAGGTTTACATCTATAATTAGTTTTTGAGTTGGATTTTCTTAATCAGCATCACTGTAGGACAAGCGCATTTTTACCTAAAATTAAATTAGTTTTTGGACTAATTCGCTTAACAGTTCGTAAGTTATTGTGAAAATTAGTTATATGTATACCCTCGGTTTAAGACGAATTCATTGTTTAAACTAGTGCCTCAGCTAGCCTGAAATCAAGAATCTCTCATGCAGCCTTACAAATACAGAAACCTATTATTTTGCAAGATATTATTTTATATAAATTCGTCAATATAATCCAAAGTAGAAAAGTGTGTGTATTGTTAGTAGTTCATTATAATAATATATAAATAACTAAACATTAAAATTAATTACTGATAACAATATGTGTATCAATAATATAAAACAAATGAGAACACAAAAGACAAAAATGAATTAAAACATTGTAAAAATCAAAGTAAATGAATTAAATGGAACATGAAATGAATAATTCGATTTCACGAAAGCAGAGCCAATTCGAATTGAAATGTTGAAAATGGTTTTCTATGAACACCAGACACGCCCTCAGCGACTTGTATGAGACATTTATCAATTAAGAAGATAAACAATTCATCTTTTATGCATTTTTACCCACAAAATCTTACCTTTTAATAGTTTACGTGGTCTTGATTTGAATTCAAAACGTTCATCGTTGGTACCATGCAAATGCGGTCGAGGACGTCTTTCATTGATGTATGTTACTTTGGCAGATGTTTGACCGACTTTATCAGAACGTTCAATGGAACATGAGGCGGAATTACGGCTACGAGTTGTTTCACCACTAGATATACTCTTAATCTGAAATCAAACAAAAACAACAACAACATCATTGAAAGAGGAAATGAGCAATACAATGGGTTTTAGCTAAGCGATAAGACAAAGTTCAATCACCAGAGACTGTCTCATCGCTACATGCTAAGATACAAACAACAAATACAATGCAAAAAGAACTTACATTAATTTTGGGCACGGCCATTGGTGAGGCAGGAGTTGGAGCTGATTTGGGGGCGCTGTTTGTCACATCTTCTTCAGTCTCGACATCGACCAGTTTCTGACGTTCCACCACTTCATCGTTGGGTTCCATTGTCTGGCAATATATTTATATTTCTGATGATTTAACTGGAAGCCTATTGTTTTGATTTTGTTTCCTTCACTTCTTCTTCTTCTACTTCTTTGTATAGATTTTTCCTTCCACCCCAAAAACAGCACACTATTCGAGAATTTAATTAAAAAACCCCAATTTATTTTTTTAATAGTTTTGTTAAATATTCCACTGTGTCATTGTTACACCCAACAATGGGTCAGTTTATTTTGTTAAATGTATAATTATTAGTTTTCGATAACATTTTCTTTATTTTCTTTGGCAAAAATTCAACAAGACAACGAAGTTGAATGAGATTCTTTGGCCGGCTTATCAGATGTAAAGCAAATGGCACCGGCATGTTGTCAATTTCGTTGACGCCGACTAATGATAGGGAGATGTAGGTCGATTTTTCATTAGCCGTTTGTTAAGCAGCTAGAAAAAATATTTTCTTGTTTATTTAATAGTTCAACAAAAAACAGCTTTTAATGTAAGGGAATCACCAGCTCCACTTCAGAAAAAGTAAGAATTAAATAATATTATGGTTGCGTAAACTATAAATTGTCCTTAAAGTACTGAATTGAGTGGACTTCAACTGCCAATTCCATTGCATATACGTCTAAGGGAATTCATTTTTAAAATGAAGTTTAAGAAGACATACTTGGGTTTATATGAGGAATTTTTAGAAAGGTATGATATACGTGGGGTTTTAAATTAATTTTTAAGAAGATATAAGTCGGTTTTAAGGGTTTTTTCAGGAAGATATAGGTGGAGTTTTAAAGGAATTTTTATTGAGATATCAGTCGGCTTTCATGAGGAATTTCAGGAAGAATCACGTGAGTTTTTTCAAGGAATTTTTAAGAAGATATACGCAGGTTTTTTAAAGAATTTTTGGGAAGATGTATTTGAGTTATTTAAAGGAATTTTAGGAAGTTATACTTGGTTTCTATATACGTAGGTTTTTAAAAACAATTTTGGAGAGATACACGTGGGTTTTCAAGTAATTTTTCGGAAGACGTACGCGAGAATTTCATATCAGTTTTTAAACTAGGACTTGTAAAAAGAATTTTTGGGAGAAAATGTTATGACCTCATACCAGTTTCTATACCCTCCAACATTCCGTTTGTAACACCTCGAAATATACATTTTAGACCCCACAAAGTATATATATTCTTGATCAGCATAAAATTCTATGTCTGCAGGATTTTTGGTATTGGAAATGGGCCATGTAGGTCCACGCATTTGTATAGCCCCCATATAAAGGCACCTTCCGGTTTTCGGTATTTTGATGATTTTAGCGACATTATTCACTGGAATTGTTTCAAATTTCGTATTTGAAGTTCGTAATGAATACTTTAGCCTAAGACAGAAAATTGTCTGTGCAGGTCCACGTCTTCGTATAGCTCCCATATAAGGGTTCCTCCCGATATTCGGTATTTTAATGATTTTTGCGACATTATTCACCGGAATTGTTTGAAATTTGGTATTTGAAGTTCATAATGAATACTTCGGCATAAGACAGAAAATTGTCTGTGCAGGTCCACGTCTTCGTAGAGCCCCTATATAACGGCACCTCCCGATATTTGGCATTTTGATAATTTTAGCGACATTATTCACCGGAATTCTTTCAAATTTGGTATTTGAGGTTCGTAATGAATTCTACAGCCTATGTCAGAAAATTGTTGGTGCAAGCTGCACGTTTTGGACATGCCCAAATTAGGGTAACTCCCTTTATTACGTATTTGGATGATTTTAGCCATATTATTTTCCGATTTGTGTTTCAAGTTTCGCATTTGAGTATTGTAATGGCTTATGACGAACTTGCCTATGTAGGTCCACGTCGTCATATAGACCCTAATATAACGGCTACATTCAGTATTTTTAGGTTTTAAGAGAATATTTAACGGATTTTTTGAAAATTGCCAAATTTGTTACAAATGGTGGAAGGTAATAAAATTTCGGCCCGGCCGAACTTACAGCTTTTTTACTTGTTTTTAAAGAAATTATGGAAATCAATTCAAAATAATTTTTTTAGGTTTGAAAAAAAAATTCCATATTTTTTTCACTTGTCCATATTCATAATTTTATTAAGAATTTAATTTCCTATATTTAAAGAACATTCATTCACAAAACAATAGTTTAGCTGGATTTCTTGGCGAAACCGAGGGAATAGATCATATGCAAGATACCCAAGAGACCAACACCGCACAGGCCAACAGTGAGGCCAAACAAAGCCTTATCGGCTGGACCACCCTTCAAGAAAACGGGCAGGGTATTCTTGGCCTGTAAATGAAGAAGAAAATTTCAAATTTAAAATGTCATCAATAGCTTTAAAATAATTCAAACATACCTGGAATTTTTCCATGTTCTTAGCAAGACCTTCGGGCAAAGCCATTTCGAGTGTTGAGGTTTTTCTTTTGGGCGGTTATGCAATGCTGTAAAAAGGAAAATGGAATTGGGTTGAATTTTTACTCTCGTTCAATAAAAACACAATATTTTTATTATTTTGAGCAGAAAAATAGTAAATATTTTTTAAAATATTTAAATATTTGTTATATTGTTCCGAATTATTTTATTATTTAATAGCACTTACATAGAGATTTACAGCAGTATTTGCCTACAGCACAAGTCTATGGCGTTGGTATTGATATGAAAACAGCTGGGTGCGAAATTGACAATTTTAAAAATAGATTTCAACGATGCAATGCAAATTAAACGAATAAATTTTGGTACAAAATGCATGGTTGTGGTGGTTAAGGAAAGTGCATTACACTGGGAAAATTTATTCTAAAAAATCGAAAAAATATTAAAAAAATTAAATCATCCACTCCATATTTGACACTGCAACATACCCACAAGCAAAACACATTTCCAGCCATTAACTTTTATGCAGAAGCTTAAATGTTCTTTGCGTATGTCGAGCTTGTCGCGTGCATACAACATACTAAACTGTATGCTGAGTGTTGAAAGGCTTTTTGTTCCCGCTGTTTGAGTTCAGCTGGACGATATTTAATACGCCAGAAAATAACTTTCATAAAACTTAAGAATCAAAAGCAATTTCGAAATGCTTAAATAGCAACAACAAACATACACCAATTTTGAAAAAGTTCTTACCGATTTTTTTTCTCGTAGAGCAGTCAAAACTTTCAAAAGTTACAGATGATGGGAGCCAAAAATCGAAAATGCTTTAGATAGATGATATTTCGTAGAGGGAATTAAATGTTAGCTGTACCAAAAAAAATGCTAACCATGCAAAAGTTCTACTCTTCATCTAAACTTTTTTTCCAATTCTTAAAAATACTAATGAAAGCAAAATATAGCCTTACTAATACTATATATAGAACTTAAAATGTATAAACAGGTAAAAAAGCAGCTATGTTCGACCGGGCCGAACTTTTAATACCCTCCACCATTTGGAAGGAATTTGAAAAATTTCACAAAACTTCAGGAAACTACCACTTAAATGAAAACTGTTATATGGAGAATATACGAAGACGTGGACCTGCTAACGAAATTTTTTGTCATAGGCACCCATTACGAACTTCAAATACCAAATGTGAAACAATTCCGATGAACAATGTCGCTAAAATCATGAAAATACTAATTATCAGGAGGTACCGTTATATATAGGGCTATACGAAGACGTGGACCTTCATACGAAATTTTTTTCCATAGGTTGCAGTAACCATTTAGATCTCCCAATTCGAAATTTGAAACGATTCCGGTGAATAATGTTGCTGAAATCATCAAAATACCGAAAATCGGGAGCTTCCGTTATATGGGGGCTATACGAAGACGTGGACCTGCGTACAAAACTGTCATAGTCCGTCTGTCCGACTGTGAAAATCGTAAAATTTTACTCAAATTGGTTTAAGGTCCGTAGAATTTTTTAGTATTATAAAATTTGGTATTTATAGTTCGCAATAGGCACCGCCTTTAATATTTCCATATATCGTACAGCTCCAAATAACAGAGCCAGCCGATATTCTACATTTTATCATCGAAATTTATTGAATATTTCCGAACTTTTTATACCCTCCGCTATTAAAAGCTTGACCCGGCAGAGCTTAGCTGTTTTATCGACTGGTTTAGAACTTTTACCTTCAACTTTTTTATACCCTCAGCCATATGGCTAGAGAGGGTATATATCATTTGATACGGTCTAGATCTCTTTAAACCAAATCCGTTTCAGGGCATTTGGAGTCGGTCTAGCGATGCCCGTCCGTCTGTCTGGCTGGCTGGGACGCACGATAACTCTCGAAGGGAGTATCCGATTTGGTCCAAACTTGGTACATCGTAATATTATTGTCAAATCTAGATCGAGTTCGGAGATGGGCAATATAGGTTCACTCCTTCTTGTACTTCCCCCACAAAAGGTCGATATTTTCAAAGATAATAGTTTTCTGCACAGAAAGAGAAAGGATGATCCGATTGTGCTCCTCTTATCAAATCCCAATATTTGAATCCGTGCTAGGTTAGGTGTGAAAATGGACAATATCGGTTCACTCCATCAAGTACCTCTCCCACAAACGAATTTGAATAATTACAACTCTTATAAAATGTGATGTAAGAGTCCGATAGTCTTTAAATTTCACACACCCAGATATTTTTATCAACCTAAGGTCTGGTATTAAGATAGAACATATCGCTCCACTGCTTCTGGTACCTCCCCCACAAAAGGTCGAAAATTTCAAAAAATATATTTTTTGCACAGAAAGAGAAAGGATAATCCGATTGTGCTCCAGGTTCAAAAATGGCAATATCGGTCCACTCCATCAAGTACCTCCCCCATACGGGGTCAAAATTTTGAATAATTACAACTTTTATAAAATGTGATGCAAGGGTCCGATAGTCTTTAAAATACACACATTACAAAATTTTTATTAACCCAAGGTCTGGCGTGAAGATGGAATATATCGGTCCACTCCTTCTGGTACTTCTCCCACAAAGGGTCAAAAGTTTGAATATCCATGAAGCTCTTAAAACCTGAAAATAACTTCCGATTCACTTTATACTTGGTACATCTCTATATGTCCATCAACACAAGATATGTTATAAAGATGGTAGAGATCGCACCATCGCATCTTCTGGTACCTCTCCCACATTGGGTACAAAAAAATAGGAAAATTTCTTCAAATTTCAATATGGGAATGATTCCATTGTGTCGAGGAACAGTTTTTACACTAAAAACAGTTCTAATATTATTTTATTTATTTTATTTAGATAAAGAGATAACAGCCTTCATTTCAAGAAGTGGGAAAATTTCCTGAAAATTGACTAGTGCCCTTCAACTTCAAACGATCGCAAATATCTCGGAAACTAACAGACTTAGGGAATTTATGGTATCGCATAAAATTTAATATAAATATTCGATTTCCTTCAATGGAATACTTCGGTGCGCTATATCTGTCACCTCACCCATATTTCCACATTTTTCAAAAATTTGCACATATCTCATTTAAAGTACAGGAAGTAGTCTATAAATTCCAAATCTGTCACGTTGTAATGTTTATATCAGTCTTAGGTAAGATACAAATTGGCCAACTGCTTCGAAACCTCCCCCTTAAAGGGTCAACAGTTTGAATAATCATAACTCAAGGCTGGGTGTATACATCTGTCGGCAAAACCGACTGATTCTATTTTAATTGTTTATTTTTTTTTTATTTTCAAGTTTTATTTCTATAAAAAAATAATTGTAATTGAGACCAAACATTTAATTTTTATTATGAGAAATTCTAAAAAAAATTATTCTGGTCGAGCTTTGCTCTATATTAAGAGTCAGCGAACAATTTTTTGACTTTTTGTGAAAGGTTTTATTAAGTTTTCTTTGTTAGTAGCTAAGCTTTTATGTAAGCGTATCTGTTCAAACAAAAAAAAAACGCATTTTTATCGAAAAAATAAAAGTTCAGATGCTTTTGTCTCTGATTTCCACCTCCCATAGAGAGGAACTTTTTCTGCGCTATATATTTTTTTTCAACCAAACGATTAATTCCAATTCTAAAATGTCATCTGGCTAAAGCCTTTTCGATTTTTGGCTCCCATCATCTATAACTTTCAAAAGTTTTGACTGTTCACAAAAAAAAAAAAAAAAAAAAAACAAGAACCACATCTGTACTGAACAAAGTTTCTTTATTTTTTTTTTTTTTGGTTAAGTGTTGTTGTGTTGCAAGCATTTCGAAATGCTTGCCATTTATTCTCAAGTTTAACGAAAGTTGTTTTCAGCGTATTAAATGCTTACCATCAACAACAAAAACATACAAAAGCAGCCAGTACAGAACAAAAAAGCAATCCAACACTTAACTTTGTAATATGACAATGATGGCGAAGTGTTCTTAGTATTCCACCCGCACAACAAGTAAGCTTCTTTCCGAAGAAGACATAGGTATAAATATTGGGCGAAAAAATATAACATTTAAATATTAATTTTTGTATGTCTAGATAAATATCAATGATTTTTGTAATGTCTTTTAAAGATTTGGGATAATAAATTATTTTCATAGAATAACGGTTTTTTTAAGTAGTTTCGATAGTCTCCCCACATTTATGCTCCCGAGAGAAAATATCAACAAAACACTGAATATGATGCTCTTCTAGTTTATCTATCACAAGTCTCTTTGAAAGAAAGCCCTTCCAATGCCTCTGCTCTACTATACGAGGAGTACCGATGTAAATATATGCATGCTCGAACACTGTCCGTGTGACTGGTTGATTCGTTCTACCATCATCTTTTGGCGGGAAACTTGAAGCGAAAAAAGCACAATTATTGCCTTCTTTGTGCTAATCTAAATCATGTTCTACAAATTTTTTTCAAGAATGTGGGGTGCTTTGGACTTTTTAAGCACAAAATAGACTTTTGAAACCTCCTCAGCTGGGCGAAAGTTGATTCCAAGTTCAACTTATATGATAACGCTTGGTATTTGTCTCAAAGTAAAATAAAAACATGTAAAAACAAGTAAAAAACATTAAGTTCGGCCGGGCCAAACTTTTAATACCCTCCACCTTAGGGTAAAGGAAACATTAAAAGAAATGTGGCAAAAACCATTAAAATGCCGAATATCGGGAGGTACCGTTATATGGGGGTTCTACCAAATCGTGGACCTACACATGAAAGGTTCCGCCAACGGAGCTAGAACCCATTATGACCTACAAATACCAATTTTCAGACAAATACGTGAAAAAAGGGGCAAAAATCATCAAATTACCGAATATCGGGAGGTACCGTTATATGGGGGCTGTACCAAAACGTGGACCTATAATTACAATGACTCGCCACAAGAACTGGGACCCACTATGATCTACAACTACCAAATTTTCAGTGAAATTCGTGAAAAAATCAGTCAAAAATCATCAAAATACCGAACATTGGGAGCTACCGTTATATGGGGACTATACCAAAACGTGGACCTATACATACAATGTTTCGCCACACGAACTAGGACCCATTATGACTCACAAATACCAATTTTTACACAAATCAGTGAAAAAATTTTGCAAAAACCATCAAAATACCGAATATCGGGAGGTACCGTTATATGGGGGCTATACCAAATCATGGACCCATACATGCAATGTTTCGCCACCGGAGATGGAACTCATTATGACCAACAAATACCAATTTTTAGACAAATCCGTTAAAAACTGTGGCAAAAATAATCAAAATATCGAATATCGGGAGGTACCGTTATATGGGGACTATACCAGAACGTGGACCGATATATCTCATTTTCAATACCAACCATCCTAGACACA